TGCCCCTCTGCCCTCCCCTCTCTGCCCTCCCTGCCTGGCCTCCCCGCCTGCCCTCCCCTGCTCCCTCTGCCCTCCCCACCTGCCCTTCCCGCCTGGCCTCCCCTGCCTGCTCCTCCCCTCCCCTCCCCTGCCCCCTCTGCCCCTCCCCGTCTGCCCCTCCCCCACCTGCCCATCCCCTGCCACATCTGCCCCCCACCCAGGTATCCGTTCTGACCCCCCGTCTTGCCCCCCAGAGAGAAGGCGCCACCCACCTGGAGGAGATGAGCTTCTCACTGGATTCGGAAGGTGGGCGACCCCCAGGGGGGAGGGGGAGGGGGGAGTCTCTGAGGGGCTCCATAGGGTGCCAAGGGGGGGCTCTGTGTGGGGGGGGCTGCCCCCGGGTTGGGGTTTGGCAGCTGCCCGGATCCCATCTGACCCCCTCCCCCCACAGAGCGGCTCAGCCGGGCGCTGGAGATCCCCGGGGAGCTGCCCCCCAACGCCCTCCCCGACGGGGACTTCAAGATGGGCGTCCGCGTCACGGGTGAGAGACCCCCGCGCTGCCCCTCCCCCATCCTTCCCCATCCCCCGCTGCCCCTCCCCCATCCCCGTGCCCCCATGCCACCACTCACCCATCACCCATCCCCCCCGCGGCCCCCCCTTCCCGCCACCCAGGCCCTGGCCTCCCCCTTGAGTCCCAAACCCGGAGACAGACTCATTCCCAGCAGCCCCCCGCTGTCCCTCCTCTGGCCGTTGTCGCTTTCCCGGGCCAGCCGCCCCCGCCCCCCCTCCGGGCTGCTCCTTGCTCACGTCAGGCGACAGCGTTGGCCGCTCTGTGCCCAGGCAGCCTCTAGGGGTCGCTGTGACGCCCACGTGCCTCCGCCCTGTCACGCTGCGGCCTCTGGCGGGACCCCACTGAAAGCGTCAATTCAGGACAAATTGCTCTGAGCTGGGCAGTCACCGCCCAAGGCTGGGGGTCCTTTGCACACCAAACCAGACAGACAGAGAGGACTTCGGTCTCACCCCACTGGCTAACCACACGTCACACCAGCAATTCCCTCAGACACTCCAGTTCTCCAGTATCACCACCAGTGCCACTCGTCATGGGGACAAATGGTTATGAAAACCAATACCCCAGTAAAAGAAAAAAGGTTCCCTCGATCCCAAAGGACCAAGCCCCAGACCCAGGTCAATATACAAGTCAGACCTTACCCACAAATCACGCTGTTGCCAATCCTTTAGAATCTAAAATCTAAAGGTTTATTCATAAAAGGAAAAAGATAGAGATGAGAGTTAGAATTGGTTAAATGGAATCAATTCCATACAGTAATGGCAAAGTTCTTGGTTCAGGCTTGTAGCAGCGATGAAATAAACTGCAGGTTCAAATCAAGTCTCTGGGATACATCCCCCGCTGGGATGGGTCCTCAGTCCTTTGTTCAAAGCTTCAGCTTGTAGCAAAGTCCCTCCAGGGGTATGAAGCAGGATTGGCGACCAGATGGAGAAGATGCCGCAGCGTTTGACAGGTCTCAGAGTAGCAGCCGTGTCAGTCTGTATCCGCAGAAAGAACAGGCGTCCGTGTGGCACCTTAGAGACTAACACAGTTATTTGAGCACAAGCTTTCGTGGCTACAGTAGTAGTGGGAGTGGGTTGTAGCCCACGGAAGCTGATGCCCAAATAACTGTGTTAGTCTCTAAGGTGCCACACAGACGCCTGTTCTTTTAGCAGCTTTTTCCAGTGTCTTGTCACGTGGCCTTTCTTTCCTTCTTCCAAAGACGCCTATTCCAGCCCAGGGCCTGGAGATTGGTCCCTAGGCCTGGCCCTGCCTTGCTGAGCCCTGGTCTACACTGGGGGGCTCGACCTAAGATACGTCGACTTCAGCTCCGCGACTAGCGAATAGCGTCGCTGGAGTCGGCGTATCTCAGGTCGATTTACCCGGCTGTGAGGACGGCAGCGAGTCAACCACTGCCGCTCGCCCGTCGACTCCGCTTCCGCCTCTCGCCGCGGCGCAGTTCCGGAGTCGACGGGGAGCGATCGGGGAGCGATTTATCACGTCTACACCACACGCGATAAACCCCGATAGATCGATCGATCGCTACCCGCCGATCCAGCGCGTAGTGTAGACGTGCCCCCAGTCACCAGGTGTATCTGCTTCTCTCAGTGGGTCAGTTGTAGCTGATGGTCCTTAATGGGCCATCAAGCAGGCTAGGCAGAGCTAACACCAGTTTGTCTGGGATGTCACCCAGCAGCATAGCATAAGTTTGAAATACAGACAGGATAGAGCCAATATTCATAACTTCAACTACAAAATTGGTACACACATATAGACAGCATAATCATAACCAGTAAACCATAACCTTGTCTTAGACACCCCATTTGACCCCCTTTATACAAGGTTTGGTGCCACTACAGGACTTTGGTTGCAACAATGATCTATATGGTCCCAGTTTGTGACAATAACATCACAGCCAGCAACGAGACACCTGAGTAACTCAGAGGGGAAACTGAGGCACACGCACAGGGTTCAGAGAAAACATTAAGAACAGAGCCACTTTGTCACTGCCCTGATGCCCCTCCCCACATCCCCACCCCACTGCATTCCCCATCCCTGTCCTCACCCCAACACCACCTCCTCCGGCCTCGGCGCGGGGTCCATGGGTCACTGGGGCACTGGCTCTGCCCAGCGTGGGGTCTGTGGGTTGCTCACGCTGTCTCTCCCCGGCGCGGGGTCCGTGGGTCGCTGACGCTGTCTTTCCCCGGCGCGGGGTCCGTGGGTCGCTGACGCTGTCTCTCCCCGGTGCGGGGTCCGTGGGTTGCTCACGCTGTCTCTCCCCGGCGCGGGGTCCGTGGGTCGCTGGGGCTCTGTGTTGCTCTCCCCGGCGCGGGGTCTGTGGGTCGCTGGGGCACTGGCTCTGCCCGGCGCGGGGTCCGTGGGTCGCCGGGGCTCTGTGTCGCTCTCCTCGGCGCGGGGTCCGTGGGTTGCTGACGCTGTCTCTCCCCCCGCCATGGGGCAGCTGATGTGCCCGTGGACACGCTGGACAAGTCGCTCTCGCCCGCCGGGCTGGTGGGACTCCTGCGGGTGCCGCGGGGCTGCGCGGAGCAGACGATGATCTACATGGCGCCCGGGCTCTACGCCATGCACTACCTGGACGAGACGGAGCAGTGGACCCAGCTCAAACCCGAGCGCAAGCAGGAGGGGCTGGAGCACCTGCGCGTGGGTGAGCGCTCCGGGCACTGGCACGGGCGGGGGTGGGGGTGAGGGGGGCTGAGCACCAGGGTGGGCGACGGGCCGGGCATCAGGTCAGGCGAGGGTGGGGGTGAGGGGGGCTGACTACCGGGGCGGGCAGGGGCCAGGGACGAGGGGGGCCGGGCACCAGCGCCGTGGGTACCTGACCTGCCGTGGCCACCCACTGGCCCTTGCACTTTGCACACACGTGTGCAGCCCCCCTTTGCACGCCCAGCGCACAGACCCGCGGACGCTTGTCCCTCCCTCGCTTGCACCCCCCAGGCACGAGCCCCGCAAGGGGGGCAGTGGGCACGGAGGGTGGGGGTGTCGAACCCCCCCAATGTGACCCCCCGTCGCATCCCCTCCCCCCCAGGCTACGAGCGGATCCTGACCTTCCGCAAGCAGGACGGGTCGTACGGCGCCTGGCTGGACCGGGCCAGCAGCACCTGGTGAGCCGGGGGGGGGGGGGGGGGGGGCCTGGGGGAGGGTCAGGGGTGGGTTCCAGGCCCGGGAGCTCTTTGGGGGGGGGGATGTGGGGGGGGTCTAGGGCTGGGGGCTCTGTGGGGGGATCTGCTCCCTGGGGAAGGGCCGGGAGGCATTGTGGGGGGGCTGTGAGGGGGCTCTGGGGGGTATCCGCTTGCCAGGGAAGGGTCGGGAGCGTCGTGGGGGGGCTGTGAGGGGGGATCCGGGGCTGGGGGCTCTGGGGGGATCCACTCCCCAGGGAAGCGTCGGGAGGCATCGGGGGGGCTATGAGGGGGGATCCGGGGCTGGGGGCTCTGG